CCCCCCCCCCCCTAAACCACATCCTGCCTGTTGATTTGGCATCAATCCATGGTCAGGATTCATCCCACCTATCAGTATGCATACGATGTCCTAAATGGTTTGATTATATTCTAGTGAAATTAATAGTACCTCAAATTTCTTTTGGTCAGTGACCGGATCAAATGAATTTATAATGTATAGGATGGAAAATGGAACTTGTGTTAATAACTTTATTCTGATAATATGATGACAGTACATCCAAGTTCCCTTAGAATTATCTCTGAACCAGCCAATAACAACCTATGAACCTTCTGTGACCTCTATCTGCTCTACAACAACTGATGTGTTTGGCATAGTTGTGAAGGTGGTGCTAGGTGACAAGGTGGCCTTGTGGGGGGTGGGTGCTTAGTCTAAACACCTTGAGTTTTATTAAAAAACACCCATTGAAATGATTAAGCACATGCCTAATGGGAAAAATTACAAGGTGGATAGTTATTATTACCATGGGTGCATCTTATTAGTATGTTTGTTGATAAATCTTAATATATATATGTACTAATGTTTTATTTTATGGTAAAACATTAAATACCTGAGGATTTGAGGGGAGAGAGAAAGAAAGAGAAGCTGACCTAAAATTTAGTGGTCTTTTTTGTCAAACCATTTTGCCTAGGTGCCTAGGCAACTAGGTTTTCCACTGTCCCCTAGAATTGCCTATTGCCTTGACAACTATGGGTATTGGTTTAAGGTTATGAAGTAAGGATTTCAACTCTGCTCTTTCTCAGAGATCTATTGATGGAAAATCTGACAAATGATTTATAGCTCCTTGTATCTAAATTGTCGTGTGGCTTCGTTACTTGCATCCTCTTTATATCATGTCAATTTGTATAAGCTTGAGTAAAGACTTTTAGGCTTATGTGAGCATGTAAAATCATCTGCTTGGAAGTTGTTATTAGCTATACTTTCATAGTTTTAGGGTGTGTGTTAGGTAACTGCCTAACTCAGGGCTTTTCAAGGAAGCCTGCCTCCTGAAACGAGAGAGAGAGAGAGAGAGAGAGAGAGAGAGAGACTGAATTCCCAAAATCAATACCTCCTCTTCTGGCTTCCTTCCCTTATTTACAATACTTCCGTTACAATTCTGTTATATCAGCCTCTCCACTTGTCCAGTTTGTTATTTAGTTTGTTCGAGTGGTTGGCTGTCAGTTACATTACTTAAAGGCTGATGTTGCCTTTTCTTGTACACTTGTCCCTCTGTTCCCCTTATTTGTGTCTTAACAGTTTGGCTTTCTTTGTTATTTAAGGCTATTACCCAATGTTGGTCCCATCTATCTGGGGTCTTGGGAGGGGTAGACTGGATACAGTCCTAGTCTTTGGCAGGTTGTGGACCATTTATTTCTGTATAACATGGATCTCTATTTCAAACAGGCATGACAGTATATGCTACTTGTTATTAATCCTGTTCTATTTAAATGATTTCCTTTCAGTTATAATGCTGAGTGCCATACATCATGCATGGTAATTTCATTTTCTTAAATTCCATTCTAAACTTTAGTGTTTCCATTATGTTTCCTTAGATTTTCTTTTGATCTTAATGTGCTAATTCCTCTTCCATGGTGGCAAAACTTACATTAAATGTAAAGTTTGAAACCTTCGTTTGGTTACATAATCTGATTTTAATATACAACTCTTGAATGTAAGGTTGTCTAGGACATTTAAATGCTTGAATTTGATGGTAGAAGGGAATGCTAGGTAGTTGTAGGCTGGCTGAAGAAAGAATATCTAGCCATGTGGAGTTTGGTCAATGCAACGGATGCCACTTTCTCTTGCACTCAAGGACCGGTAAATGGAATAGCCACAGGCAAGCAAGGGGTAAACATGGGCAATTGTTTTGGAGTTGCTTATAATGTAAATTAAAATTTTGGTTTAGGTGGATTTTTCCCAGCCTAATATCTTGGGTTGTTTGATACTTCTGTACATTACAGATTCCTTATCCACAATCAATAAATGTTTTCTGTTACCAATAAAAAACATAAATTTCTTTTATAAGATCTAAAGGTTATGGGGGAGGTAACATCTCATGCCTCCTCCTAGGCTGATTGTACTTTCTTTAATTTAATTAATAAAACTACTCTCATTTATCAAAAAAAAAAAAAAAAGATCTAAAGGTTATGTGTTTATTTAAGTGGTCGGAATAGTTTATATTTTCGTCATACTTAAACCTACATTGTTATTAATTTACATGTATGTCAGAAGTTATAAGTTTACAAGTATTCAGTTGAAATTAGAAGTTAGGACCTGTAAGAAGAATTGATCCGTTGCACTTAAGGGCGGCACACTGACTAAAGTCCTCAGCTTTATTTACTGATTTCACTCTAGATGAATTGCTGAGAAAGTGGGAAGAGATTGCTAGCTCTGCCTGGGTTAGAACTGGGCTAAGTCCTTCTTGGACCCCTCCCCCTACTGGTTATATAAAGCTGAACCTTGATGGCAGTAGTAGAGGGAACCCAGGGCAATCTGGTATCAGGGGTATTCAGGGATGAGAATGGGAATGTTTCAGCCATGTTCTCAGGCTCAATAGGTGTAGGTGATTCCCTCAGGACTGAGATTCTTGCAGTATTGGAAGGAGTCCGAAGGGCAAAGGAATTGAATATAAGGAGGCTTGTGGTTGAAGGTGATTTGGAGGTGGTAGTAGGGTGGCTGAAATAAGACAAAACTGGGTTGTGGAACTATAGCAATGAAAAGAAAAACTTCAAGTGCCTGGCTAAAGATATGGAAGTAACATACAGTTGGGTGAAGAGATCCGCTAACTCTTTTGCTGATGGGTTGGCCAAGCAAGGGGAGCTTTGGGAATCTATGTTCTGGGCTCTTTTGTAATTCTGTTTTATTATTTTTCTGGGGACTCTTGACCCTGCCCGGGGAGTTAAGATAGTTTATCTCTCCTCCTTGTAATTAATATTTATATCAATTTAATGAAAGCTTTTGTTATTGATCAGGAAAAAAAGAAGAAGAATTGATCTATTGCAAGTTGAAAGGGCTAGAAGGGCTAGGAGTAAACCAAAAAGAACATGGGTCAAAGTAATTAGAAATTATTTAAATGCCCATAATTTAACAATACATATGACATTAAACAGAATGTAATAGCAAGGCAGGATTCATGTTGCCGACCCCATAAACTTGGGATAAGGCTTGGATGATGATGAGTTTCACTTCTTTCTGTACTTCAGGAGTATTAGTTGTAGCCAACAAGGATAACTATATGATCCGATTTCTAGGTCTATATTCTTATTTAAAGGGGAAAATGTCATATTGCTTAACTTATTGAATTGAATAGTTCTTTATAAGAGTCACTCTCATTTGTCTTTTTTGATTCCATGATCCTTATTGCTGAGATTCCATTAAGACCTTGATCCTAGTCAAGGTCTTAGTTTTCCATATCTGAAGTTATTTAAAGGGGAAAATGTCATATTGTTTAACTTATTGAATTAAGATGAGATGCAAATTTTCCATATCTGAAGTTGTCCTCTTCCTTATATTGTAAATTTTCCATCATAAAAGCATTAGATTTTGAGATTTTCCTCTTCAAGTTATTCTTATATTAAATTCCTAATCAAGTATTTCTCTGTTCCAAGTAATTACTTTATTATTGTGTCTTATTGTTTCCACCTTTACAAGCCCTCTTTTAGGTGATTTTCACATTAACCTTGTGATTGAAGTTGCTCACAATCTTGCCCAGTTGTATGTAATTGTACTATCAGTTCAATTTTGACAATCAATTTGAGGCATGCATATAAATTAGGGATGCTCGTTTTTGCTCGGGCCCACATTGCTTGGCTTGGCCTGTCTTGGAAATTTCTAGGCCAGGGCAAATGTTTTCTTCCAAGCCTGGCCCAGGTCAGCATTGAGCCCACACATAATGCAAGCTGGGGTTGGTACCTAAGATCTTAGGATGGAAAGCCCAACCTGGCTCAGGGTACGAGCTGGGTTGGGCTTGGGAAAGCTTAAAAGTCTCTTATATCCCTGAAAAACCTGGTCCAAGCCTGGCCTGGCATGGTCCATGATCATCCCTAGTATAAATGATGAAAAAAAAATTGAAACATGCATATGAAAGCTCTAGATATTTCAAGACCAAGTGAGGAAGAAAGAAATTTTCAATAGAGGATGAGAATTCTGTTGAATATCAACATAGATCAGTATGAGCATAAATTTGAGATGAAGGAATTTCCAATTGTAGCAAATATTGGTAATGGTATTTTGAATCTTTTACAGTGGAATATATGCATCAGATGATGAACATGTTATATAAATGAAGAGTATTTGTTGTTTGGATCTCCTTTCCCTTCCATGTCAACAATCTGAATCCATAGTAACTGAGGTGTTTGTGTGTAACTTGGTAAGGATGGCTCCTACATTACTTGCATCTTGTCTAATCTTCTCTATCTAGGCTGTTATTAGTATCAAGGTGTAAGCCCAAAAATTCAACCCTAACCCATGCAAATGCTTGGGTTGGGCCTTCTCAGGTTGCAGCCCTACAAGATTCAAAATTTATGATCTAACTTGGTTGGGATGGTCTCCAAGATGACTTGCTCCTTGTCAATATTTTTTCATCTAGGCTGTTACTAGTAATTGAGGTTTTTTGTGCATCTTGTGCAAGTACTTTGCATTGGTGGTTGGGGGTCAATATTGGAAGGATGGTCAAATATCTTGTGAAATCTTTTACAATAGAATAGAATCTTTGCTATGAATAATACTGCTATAATAGGAGAGACAAGCGATTATATTGGGTTTTTATTATGCAAGATGGTAATTTTATATTTGATAGTATTGGGCTGGTTGTGAGTTGGGGCTTTGGGTGTCCTCAGGTTTGTAGTTTCTTTTATCTAGCATTCAGGCAATGATTATTATCCAAGTCTAAAAGGTATTGGTTGACTGGAATAGAGTTCAGGAAAAAAATGTAAGTAGTAAGATTAGAGATTGGTTAGGCTAAGAAGTGTTAATAGAGCTTAATTGCAAAAGTTCTGGTTGGTCCACTAATTGTGGAAGGCTTCAAATTGAGGAAAACAGGTCTAGGATTAGAATTTTTCAATGAAATTTGGTAGGTAGGTTTAGAATGAAATTTGGGAGGGCCTGTTTGCTACCAAATAGGTTTGAGTCTGAGAGCAACCACTTTGTGCAAAAAAAAAAAAAGGTTAGGTTCGTATCCCATAATGGCAAATGTTGGCAAGGGGACAAACCTTTAAATGATTAGTTCCTCTGTGCAAAAGTTCTTTGGGTTCCTTCTCTTCTATCCATTTCCCTGGATTTTAAAATCTCTAAACCTGATTTTAAAATTTGGACTGCCACTTCTTTGGGTTCCTTCTCTTGTGCTTCACTCAGGAGATCTTTGGCTTCTCAATTTCCCCATCTCCTCGTAGGATTTTCCTATTAGATCCATCTGGCTTGGATCAACTCCCCCCTACCTCCTTCATTCAGGAGTTATATTGGAGGGTATTCCTTTTCAAAATTAAAATATGTGAAGCCTTGCAAAAGAGAAGGCCTAACTGGTATCTATCAGCACAAAGATGTTTCTTTCCGTATGATACAAATGGGAAAACTACATTCCATCTGCTAATCTCCTATCCTGCCCCTCACCTCCAGTATTTGGGATTGGTTACTAGCTCTCTTTTATTGCAGATGGTCCTCACACAGAGATGTGAATAACATTTTTTGTCCTCATTTGTGTTTTTTTGATGGATAACTGAAGGTCTTATTTAATTTGAATAAAAGAGTTGGTATTTACAATCTGCCCTGTACCCTTTTTAGAAATGGCTAAAGCACCTCCAGCGACAAAATCTTAGTTTTTACTTCCATTCTGCATTTAATAGTCCCTAGAAGGCTAGAACAACTGCTCCCAATGTACTCCTTGTTTTTCTCAAGTGTCAGCCAACCCATTGGCTAATCTTTGTACCCATGTAATCGTGATAGTTCCCCCTTTCTAGATTGTAGATTCTTGATTTCCCTTAATATTTGCCAGTACTGCCTATGCTCTTGTCCTTGTCCCATTTAGCCAATTCACCTCCACTCTCGAGTACCCTCCCACTAGCATATTTCTTTAAGGTTCTTGCCAACCTAAAGCCTTGCAATGCTACTAGCAATTCAGCTTTAATGAAGTTTCCAACACTTATAGGGCCAGAATACATTGCTAGGGTGATACCAAATCTACCCACACCCATCAAAGTAAGCTTTATTTGGTATCTTCCAGGTAGATGCCAATAAACAGTAATCCTTGCCCCGGTTGTAGATGAAGCAGCCACCTACTCCCATCTTCTAATGATATTGTTGACCTGAAAGTTAGATAATGTGTCCAATATCTTAACCTGGTGTGCCATCTTTACTGCAATGGATTCAATTACAGCATCTTTTGTTCTTTGGCGTTACTCTTTAATCCACCCAAGAGAAGAGGAAAGATAATGTGGAGGTGTACCAGGGATTTGTTTGGTTCATTTGGGAAGAAAGAAATGCAATAATTTTTAATGAGAAGAAGCTGTCAAAAGAAGCAATCATAGAAAACCTTGGACATCTTTGCACCTTACATGAAGAACGATATCCTTAGTTAGCTTGTTCATCTTCTAGGAGGACCATTATACAGAAGGAGTGGATTCCATTGGCTTGGAATCAGATTGAACTAAATTTTGATGAGTGCTGTTTCAGGAATCTAGGCATTGCAGGTGTATTTAGAGACAGCCATGGGGTTGTGATAAGTAATATTTTCAGTACCCATTGGTGCTGGGGATCTAGAAGAGTTAAGATGCTAGCAGTATCTTGACTGAATATGGGCAAAAGACTGAATATGAAGAATATAATCATGGAGGGAAGTTCCAATACTGTAATGGGCTGGTTAAAAAATGATGCTCAAGGAACATGGCAGCACAGGCATACACTCAAAGAAATCAAGGAAACAGCAAGGAAGATGGTTATTGTGTGGCTGAGTCACTTTCAAAACAAGGGGCAAATAGGGAACAAATATATTGGGAGGTAACAAATGAAAGCTATTTGTAAAAGTTGTTTTTAAAATCAAAGGGAGGGCTAGGTGGTAAAGGCCAACCCAACAAAGGGAGTCGATTGCATTGTACATAACATTCTTCCTTCATAAACAATAAAGTCCAATATTAACAATAAAAAACCAAAGGACAACACAACGTCAAAGCATGACGTTGCTTTGGTTAAATGCTAACTGAAAGTTGCTCTGCTAATTTGCAAGAATTATTTTTCATTTAATAACAAGAACTTCTTTTAAGAATTAGAGAAAAGTATGCACACAAAAGGGAACCCTATTAGCCGAAGGGTTAGGTCAATGCCTATGAGTTTAACATTGTTGTTGGACTAGCAAACAATTGCTATTATTTATAAATCCAAAAATGTTTCCCATATTGAACATACTCTGTACACGTATATATTATGTTTGACCTTGAATATATTACCTTGTTCATCCTTGTCTGATATACTTTTGATTCCTATTTCGTGGTTCTTTCTACCAACTTTTTTTTATTCTTGAACCAGACCCTTAAAAAACCTAGTAGTTTTGTTTTTGGCAAATGACGATAGGGATAAGTAGAAATCTCTATTTTTCTTGATCACCAGACACTTCTCTGGTTTTCATGGCCAAAAAAGAATGGATAATCACCTGAAATATGTTTCCTCATCTCTGCTCAGAACCAGGTCATTATGTCTACACGGTTAATCCTGACTCCTGAGTATGGTTTTTCATATCCTTGTATTGCTGATTGCATCATTAACTTTAGTGGATGCTATGATCCAATCAAGGATTTCGAACCTCCACCTTTAAGCCTGAGTTACCCACGTTATTGAAGAGCATTACACATAAAAGAAAGTGGTCCAAAAGTTACCATACAAAGTATCTCTAGTGTCCAATGATTCGTGCAATGTTCTATATGTCTTAGGTCCTGCTTGATTGCAAAAACAAATTTGTTTTGGTGCTGATTGGTTGGTTTCTTAATTGAATTGACCAACCTCAACAAATGCCAGGGGCATGCTCAGTTAAGGCATCTCATTAAGTTTCAATATTGATATATCATGTTGGTATCTTCTTTCAGCCCATACTGTGTGGAATTTCTCCAGTCATGTGATGAGGGAGCGAAGTTGAACTGGGCAAAGGAAGTAGAAGTAATCCATGGATCAATCTGGACAGCAACAGCAGTCACAGCAGCAGCCTTCAGCTGGAGCTGTAACAAGTGCAGCCCAAATAACTTATACTTCCCCTACCTACCAGAGTTCTGCAATGGTGGCATCTGGTACTCCTGCAGTAGCTGTTCCTTCAGCAACTCAGCCAGCAACTACGTTTTCTGCTTCCCAGCATCAGCTTGCATACCAGCAGGCCCAGCACTTTCACCACCAACAGCAGCAGCAACAACAACAGCAACTTCAGGTTTTCTGGGCGAACCAGATCCAGGAGATTGAGCAAACGACCGACTTCAAAAACCATAGCCTTCCACTTGCTAGGATCAAGAAGATAATGAAGGCTGATGAGGATGTACGAATGATATCAGCAGAAGCTCCAGTTGTATTTGCAAAAGCATGTGAGATGTTCATCTTGGAGTTGACATTGCGCTCATGGATCCACACAGAGGAGAACAAGCGGAGGACACTGCAGAAGAATGACATTGCTGCAGCCATTACAAGGACAGACATATTTGACTTTTTGGTTGATATCGTCCCAAGGGATGAGTTAAAGGAGGAGGGCCTTGGGATCCCCCGAGCAGCTGTACCAGCAGTGGGTGCACCAGCTGACTCTATCCCATACTACTATGTCCCTCCACCACACCAGGTCGGAGCCCCTGGGATGATAATGGGGAAACCAGTGGATCAAGCCGCAGCAGCACTCTATGCTGCCCAACAGCCTCGCCCCCCCGTGGCATACATGCCATGGCCACAACCTCAACCTCAGCATCAACAATCTCAACAGTCTCAACAGCAGCAAAATGATGCCTGATGGAAGTTAAGGTAAGGGTCATATGGGAGTTTCAATACCTGGTGGTTGCTGTATTGACTAGCACTGTTTTATTGTGGATTTAATGGTAAAAGGTTCTTGATAAATCCTGGTTGTATCTACCATACTATAATTGTATCACTAGTATTTATGACAGTATCAAAAGTGAGTGGGGCGATTTTAGAAAGTTTGGAGGGAGGGGGAACTATATCGTCTGCTCTCATGGTCTTTTAGTGACGTGAAGAGTAGAATGAGCAACTATTGCACTTGTATTAATCCATTATCAATGTGACTACACATCATCAGTGGTCATAGAAGTTTATTGTAGATCAACCTGTTGATTTTTGTGTTATCAAGATCCCTTGTTGCCATCTCTGGAAAGCTTTGGGCAGAATTGGCTACAGTTTTGTTGATTGATGAATCAAGTCCTGTTTAATCGATCCAGGAGAGAGCTGTACACTGGGAGACCTGCACGGTGTGGGCCTTTCATGAATCCCTGATTGGGTAAGCCTTGGTAATCTAAATATCTAATCACCTTCTTCAAGTTACGCCAGAATATCCAGGTAACAAATAAGGTCAATAAGAAATTAGATATCTAGGCTCCGTTTATTTTTTTCTGGTTTAGTAGGTAAATGCATTTACCTGTGTTTTTTTATCGTTAAATTTATCCAGGTAAGTTAAATAATTGATCATTTTTACCCATAAATTCTATTATTAAAAAGGGTAATTTTGTTCAATAATGTTTTGGTAAACTTTTCTTAGGTGAGAAAGTTACTTGTATGAAAAATTGGGAAAATCAATTTATGGTGGGACTATGTGAGTGCAGTTAATTTGGTCCGCCCCTTTTTTCTTCCGGATGAAGTATTAGCTGAACGCAGATGGGTGCTCAGCATGCTGTGGAACCAAGGTTCAAAATTTTGTTACGTATCGACCCGTATCGGTTGATATGTATCGTTCTGGCAAGTTTTTGGCATGGTATATGGTACCAAATTGAATGTGCCATATCTATTCGTTGTATCGATGCTGTGTTATGGCCGTATCGTGCCTGTAATGTTGAGTATCGGTGCGTTTCGGCACTGTATTGGTTGATATGCTACCGATACAGTAGCGTATTGACCGATATAGTACGATTTTACTGTGGTGGAATCGCAAATAAAATTCTCTTCAAAAGATGGCTTTTAAACCCATTTTAGAAGTCCTATTTCTTTCCCGAACCCTTTAAAAAGCTTTTTAACCTTTCTAAAGACTCAAATCTTATAAAAATTTGTCAAAACATCTATAAATTTGTAAGATTCAATAAGTTTTTCAAGGTTGTGAAAAAAAGAGCGAAAATAAATATGTTTTTTCAAATTTTTTTTTTACATTTTCAGCCAATGTTAAAAAAGATAAGGGGAAAGAAAGTCGTTTGCCCTTGCCCCTTTGACTGGGGGCGGTCCCCTTTTCGATGTAGCCCAATTTTGGTTTGTCCCCTACCCCCTTATCACCCATTTCAATGTAGCCCAATTGTTATGCATGATCCCTCTTTTAACAATTGTTATGCATTTTTATTGTTCTTATTATAAAATATTTTTATTAAAGATAAAGAAAAAAATGAAATCCCCCCTTCCTCCTTCCTCCTCTTAAGGAAACTTTCATCTCCTTGTATTCGAGAGGCTTACGCGTCTTGCATTCTGAACTATGCTTCACGCTTCTAGGTAGTGGAATGCTTCTATGTTTTAAAACATTGATATATTTTTTTTAATTTTTAGAATAAAATATGCAAAATAATTATTTCATCTATTATATCCATAAATCCATTCAATTTTTTGTTATATATTTACTCTTCTTAATTTTAATTTAATTTTTAGAATAAAACATGCAAAATAATTACTTGATCTATAATGTCCATAATTAGATAGTATGTTTTTGTTCCCGACCTCCCGTTTATTGATTATAATATGTCTTTCTTCATAAAACCCATTAGAACATGTTATTTTTATGCATAAATAGCTCATTTATGTGTTATATTTAGTGATATTAATGTTTATTTATGATTTATTAGAATATCTATAGCATTTCCATGTGTTTTCATGTGTATCTTAATTTTTCGTCCGTACACATGCGTATCCAAGGTGTATCCCGATACATCTCTTAAATTTGCATTTCCGATACACATAGTGTTTCCGATACTTTGAATCTTGTGTGGAACCAATGTTAATTTTTCATGCTAGTAATAAAATACGTAGGATTTGCACTTCACCTCTCAATATGTTGTGCCCAATCATGCTAACAAATTAAACGTAGAAATAGTGAAAACATACCTTGCATTTTATAATGCAAGCAAATATTGTGTTTTGCTAGAACAAAAACAAGGTTCAAAATATCATTTAGCCGATATGTATCGCATTGGTGGATTAAAGTCAGAAAGGTTTGGGGTTGGACCTATTTCAGGGGTGTTAATCAACTGGTTTGGGGTTGGATCCAATTCGATCCAAATCTTATTAAATCAGATTTGAACGGTTCATTATAATTATTGGATTGGGTCAATCTAAAACAAATTTGTTCATATTCTTATTAGTTTGAATTGGACTTAAACCAAGTTTTCAATAATCCGATCATCAAGCCAAACCTTTGTCTAATTTGAAATCAATCAAAACCAAAGATAGCATAAAAATCACTTTTATGAAAGTAAATTTATAAAAATAATTTTATGAAAAGTACTTTTACAAAAGCACTTTTATAAAAATACTTTTATTATGAAAGCACTTTTATAGAAGCAATTTTATAAAAGCATTTTTACAAAAACACTTTTACGAAAGTGTTTTTATAAAAGTACTTTTACATGAAAACATTTTTATAAAATCACTTTTACAAAAGAATTTTTATGGAACCACTTTTACAGAAGTGCTTTTGCAAAAGCATTTTTATGAAAGTACTTTTATAATAGCACTTTTACAAAAGCACTTTTGTAAAGGCACTTTTATGAAAGAACTTTTACAAAAACATTTTTACAAAAGTGATTTTATAAAAGCACTTCTACGAAAGTACTTTTATTAAAGCATTTTTACAAAAGAAATTTTACGAAAACACTTTTACGAAAATACTTTTATAGAAGCACTTATATGAAAGTGCTTTTATAAAGCACTTTTATGAAAGTACTTTTATCAAAGCACTTTTACAAAAAGTGTTTTTTCAATGCAAAAAGGGTATATTTTTGTAATTTTTAGATTTTCTTAATTTTAATATATTTTTGTAATTTTTTATATGTTTTATTTTTTATATTACATTCAGTTCAAATCCAATACAAACTAAAAACAATTTGGACAAATTGGACTGACCAATAAGACATTGAATTGGACCAATTCAGACTTAATGGTCCAAAATATTTATTGGATTGGATTGGACCTGATCCATCCATAATGAATTTATATTGGGTTGGATTGGATTGAGACAATATCTGGTCCATTGATAGAAGATGAGAATATAGGTGTCAATGGACCAGGTTTGGGTTAAAATCAAGGGATTTGTTCAAGCAACTCCCCCTTAGAAATCAAAATCTCAACTAAGGACGTATGGAAATCGAAACCCATGCCACCCCATCCAACAAATCCGAAATTTGTTTTGGCTCCCCCCCCACGTCATCATAACTTTAGTGTTATACCCGTTATACCCCTATACAAAATTTTACGTCTTTGTCATTGTCTTCTTCCTTATTTCGAACTTACGATATCCTCTTCTCCATTTTTAGAGCAATTTCTCAGAGCCGTTAATCACCGTATCACCGCAACTCTACGAAAAGGTACAACGTCTTCTCATTGTCTTCTTCCTCATTTCGAACCTACAGCATTTCGAAGCTACAACCTCTTCTCCATTTTTCAAAGTCATTTCTTAGAGCCCTTAATCACAGGATCACCGGAGCTCCATGAAAAGCTACAACGTCTTTTCATCGCCTTATTCCTCATTTCGAACCTACAGCATTTCGAAGCTACAACCTCTTCTTCATTTTTCAGAGCCGTTTCTCAGAGTTGTTAATCGCCGAATCACCGGAGCTAATTTCTCAGAGCCGTCTCATCGCCAGAGGTTCATCTCTCATCTCCAAAGCTACATCATCTTCCCCATTTTTCAGAGTCATTAATCACTAGAACTTCATCTCTCATCACCGGAGCTACAACATCTTCCCCATTTCAAAGCTACAACGTCTTCCCCATTTTCAGAGCCGTTAATCACCGGAGCTTCGTAGCTTCATCTCTTATCACCGGATCTATAGTGTCTTCCCCATTTTTAGAGTCGTTAATCATCGGAGCTTCATCTCTCATCACCGGAGGTAATTTCTCAAAGTCGTTTCATCACTGGATCTTCATCTCCCATCACTAGAGCTACAACGTCTTCCCCATTTCGAATTAATTGTATATTTCATTTATTTTGGTTTTGCTGATTTCTTGGCTTGTTGTTGGGAGTTGATTTCTTGGTTTTGTTGAGTGATAATTGAGTTTTGTCATTGTTTATATGAAATTTAAATGGTACACTGTGCTTAGTTTGTTACTAGGGTGTTAAATTCCCGACAAGAAAATGTAAGGTGACAAAGTTAGGACTAGGTGCTCCACGAAATGATTTCGGAAGATGTTGCAGAGTTTGTTTCTAAGTTTGGAGCACAAGAGAAGGTTCCAACAGACTCCCTTTAGACACTTCTTGGATCTGCCATAGGTGATTGTAGAGATGTCCCTTTTGAGTTCTCTAGTAAAGTTGTGGAACTCGACTAGCTACTGCTTTATAGTTGGTGAAAGGACTATGCAATTCAATGAGGCTAATGTTTCCTTGATAACGGGTCTTGACTTGTCGGATAGTACAGTTGCCCTACCGGAAGGCCTTCTTGGTAGTGGATTGTTACAAAAATCGTTTGGCTTTGATGAAAATCACTCTACCTCTACAGAGTTGGATCTAGTGTGGCGTAGGCTAATAAATATTGCATTGTTAGATGGTGAGGAGCACATTGAGGAGGTGGTGAAGCTGATTATTTTGTTCTTATTCGGTTATGTGTTGTTTCCCCAAGGCAATTCGATGGTGAGATCCTTCTGGGCTAGATATGTTGATGATTTACAACGTATTAGTGATTATGCCTGGGGTAAACGCGTACATGAATTCTTGGTCGGTGGTCTTGATCAGTTTGTTTCCCGTTGTGGTGCTGGATCGAGTGGAGGATCATCCTCGTATAGCGGCTGCCTATTTGGATGCAGCGCTGTGTTGATGGTTAGTGTGAATGGCATTCACTTTTTTTATTTACTCTTTATGTTAATCTCATTCAATTAATGATCGCTTATTGGCTGGTTTCTTTTTTGTAGGCATGGCTTTACAAGCACACAACGCTATTCAGTCCTTTAGTTCCTGATGCCAGTCCTTGTCTATTTAAGTGGGGGAGCATGGGTATCAGTGGAAGCTGAAGAGAGCTGATTTGTTGAAGAAAGCTAGGTCAGAAATGGTTCTCACTTATGTTCCTTTACTTATGGTGTTTATAGTTTTTATTTGTTTAGTTTTGTGGAAAATGAAGATCTCATATGGATTTATAAACTTGTTATAGGTTATTGAGGTTTTGAACCCTACTAGCAAGGAGATGGCCTTAGTGAAGGTTCGGTCAGAGGGTTGTGTAGGTTGAATTAATGATATTTTTTTTCTTTACAGTGGAGTCCTTTATGTGATCCAAGTACATGGTAGTAATTAACCTTTGGTGTTCATATGTAGTTTATAGACCGAGGGGACCATAGTGTGGGTGAGGAACCATTTTCTGATAGAGAGGATGCTAGTCACGGGTGCGGTTGGTGTGGGCAAAAGTTATTATTAGCGTAGCATACATGTTTTGACTTATATACAAGTTAACTTATTGTTAATGTTGAAATTTGTTAAACTACTTCTAATTTGATTTTTTAAGGGATTTTGCAAATCTTGTGTGGAATCTATGGAATATCAAATACTTTGTACAGAGGCCAAAGAGTATGATTCGATAAGAAAGTAGAACGAGGCACTTCCTGATGAAGTTAATAGGCTTCGTAGAATGTTGAGAAATAATGGGTTGGACCCTAATGCAGTACCATTTAGTGAGAATGTGAAGTATGTTAATTAGAGTAATATTTTCACCCCATTTATAGATGTTTTAATAGCCTACTCTGTCTATCAAAGGGTCATCGCACTGACCGACTGACATGCATCACGTTGTTGTGCTCCTCCTTTACATCAGATTACCCCTTGGTCGTTGGGTTGCACCTCGTACCGCCGATTTCCTTTACACTCGAGTGGCCATTGGTCATTGCCCTGCATCACCCTCCCATCAATTCTATGCCTACCTTGGTCCCCGTGCATGGGCGACCAAGTCATGGGTGAAGCACTACCTAGGTCTGGTCTATACCTCCAACCTATGGTGATGGTTGTTGAAGGGTCACCACACTGACCGATAGACATGCATCACGCTGCAATGCTCCTACTTTACATCGAATTATCCCTTGGTCGTTGGATTGCACCTCGTACCGCCAATATCCTTTACACTCAAGTGGCCATTGGTTATTGACCTGCACCACCCTCCCATCGATTCTATGCCTGCCTTGGTCCCTATGCATGGGCGGCCAAGTCATGGGTGAAGCACTACCTAGGTCGGGTCTATACCTCTAGCCTATGGTGATGTCTATCGAAGGGTCATCACACTGACCGACTAACATGTATCACACTACAGTGCTCCTCCTTTACATTGGATTATCCCTTGGTCATTGGGTTGCACCTCATACCGCCGGTCTCCTTTATACTCGAGTGGCCATTGGTCATTGACTTGCACTGCCCTCCCACCGATTCTATGCTTGCCTTGGTCCCTGTGCATGGGCGGCCAAGGCATGGGTGAAGCACTACCTTGGTTTGGTCTATACCTCCAACCTATGGTGATGTCTATCAAAGGGTCATCGCACTGACCATCTGACATGCATCACGTTATAGTGCTCCTCCTTTACATCGAATTATCCCTTGGTCGTTAGGCTGCACCTCGTACCGCCAATATCCTTTACATTTACACTTGAGTGGCCATTGGTCGTTAGGCTGCATCACGCTATGTTTGCCTTGGTCGCTATGCATGGGCGGCCAAGTCATGGGTGAAGCACTACCTAGGTCCGGTCTATACCTCCAGCCTATGGTGATGTTTGTCGAAGGGTCATCGCACTAACCGTCTAACATGCATCATGCTGCAATACTCCTCCTTTACATCAGATTACCCTTTGGTTGTTGGGTTGCACCTCATACCACCAAAGTCTACACATCCCCTATTCTCATTTAAATCCCCCCCCCCCATCAGAAGTAGTTATCTCATAAGCACAACCCTTCACCACCAAGGTTGTTGGCGGTCCACATATCCTTCGGCTAATACACTATTGTGTTTGTTCATCTAAATGTTTTCTTCCCCCATTTTCTCTTTGCATGAATAGTTATGACTGATGGTATCGATCTTTTTCTGTAGGTGTGCCTTCCATTCAAAAACACATATAGACCCTAGGGTGGATAAGTCAATCTTATGCATTTGCAACTTTAATGGCGAATCAGTTGGCATTATTATAAACTAGACCGCAGAATTAGATTCATTCATGTAGAACATCTGTAGGCGTTTTGGGATTGACCCACACGTTGCGAAGATAGATTACACAATCCAGTGTGAGTAGAGATGCACCCTAAGACTTCAGCACCAACGTGACATACATACACTTATTTGGTACAACACCATATCCTCGGACATCACAGTCTCATTGAATGAACCAGCGGGGGATGTGAATTGCTCGAATGATTACGGAGAACCCGACTCCGATGACGACCAAAGCATGCATATGTGTGTTGGCTCAAATGGTATATCTGAAAGCGGTAGCATGGCATCAACAATGTGGCATGGTCTCATAACCGGAGTCAACCAAGTGTTCGAAGACGTGGCTACATTTCGAACCACCCTGTCTAAATACTCCGTAGCCCATAGATTTTCCTATACATATAAAAGGAGCGACAAGACACGCATTCATGCACAATGTAGTATGGACAACTATCAGTGGGAAATTTGTGCTAGTGTATTAGGAGGAGGGCCTATGATCTGAGTGCAAAAGTACCAACCTCAACACTCCCACACCGCAGGTGCATCATCCTTTGTAAATCTTCCTAGGTCGAATAAGTTTGTAGGAAATCTTTTTGTTGAGAAGGTATGAAATAGTCCATCATACAAAGCAACATATATCGTGAAGGACATCAAACATGACTATGCCTTGCAGTTAACATATCAATAGGCGTGGAGTGGGAAAGAGGTCGCAAAGGTTCTAATCAATGGCAGCGATGGTGACTCTTACTCACGTATTCCATGGTTCTGTGAGAAGATTATCGAGTCCAACCTATAATGATCATGCTAAACACATTTCGGTTGAAATTGATGGAACTCCTTTGTAGGTGACATTGCGAATCCCGAGACTCCACAACACCGATCGGGAGAAGGATCAAAGAGAAGTTGCACGTGACAATTTGCAATAGCATCTAGTTCTAGGTTGTCCGTGCGTTTGTTCATGAGTTCAAGGTCAAGAAGGGGGAAGGCAATATACCGTCCGGTTGGACTAGCAGATGTGTCTGTGCAAGGAGCGGCAAATGAATGGCCTCCCATGTGCACATGCATGCATGGCCATATCGTACGTGGGGTGGAATGTGTATGAATTTGTTGACCCGTACTACACGATTGAAAAACAAAGGATCATATACTCTCAATCGATACACCCTATGTCCTCTGATGAGTTGCCTTCAACAACCATGTCATCATCTATGAGTGTAGATATTGATACTTCATCATTTGCTACACTTCACCCACCGAAGACCAAATGACCACCGGGCCAACCCCGGACCAAACGGATTGAGTCCCAGCCTATTGGGAGAAGGGAAGTTCATTGCAGGAGATGTGGTAATACAGGACACTATAGGAGCACATGCAAGGCACTCATTGAGTAGGGGTAGGTCCAACAAAGTTGAAAGCCTAGAGTGTTAGAAATTTCCCTTAACCATTGTTTTTTTAGGTTTACTTTTTGTTGTGGAATGCTTTTAAGCCAGTACCATGCCCTAATGGCCCAACTGCATGTACACTTGGGTTAATGGTTTGACATGGGTGTCGAATGAAAGTAAATGCATTTGTCTATTGGTTCACGAGTCATTGGACAGTCTACACTAAATAACCCACGGATTATCCCGACACCTTATGGTTGCCCGTCGTCTCGGACCGAATGGGGAGTCTCTACCTCCTCTAGGGACGTCCAAGAGACCTCTCCCCACCTCGTGGAGGTGGTTCCGCCGCCTGTCTACCCCCATGCCCCCCCTTCGGGACCTCTTCTTGGAATTAGCAGAATCACCCAGAGGCTGTTCCGGTGGGTGTGAAGGGGTTCAATGGCCACCAAACCCACTGCCTCCAACTGCCACTCACCCACCAAGCATCCTGACACCTTCCGGTTGCCCATTGGCCTGACAACCCGAGCCGACAGTGGGAAACGGAAACCCACACCCTCCAACTACCATTGACCCACTAAGCATCCTAATACCCTCCGTTTTCCCATCAGCTCGATGGCCCGGGCCCGAGGAATTTTCACCTCCTCTATGGACATCCAAGAGACCTCTCCCCACCCCATGAAGGTGGTTCTGCCGCCCGTCTACCCCTACGCCCCCCTCCCTCCGGGACCGCTTCTCAGAAATGGTAGCAGCACCTAGAGGCCACTTTGTCAGCCTTCCCCATAAGCCTAGGCTTCTCTTCCTCCTACCAGAAGGTATCTTCGATGAGTTTACAAATATTTCTTCGTCAACAAAAAAATATCTTCTAAGCAATTTATGTTTATATACTTATATTTAAAAGTTCAACTTAACAATAAGACGCCAAAATAGTTCACCAACATGAAAACTAAAGGGGGGGGGAGTCTTTTAACTCAACCGTTAAAACACTGAACCTACGTATTCACCAATAATGATAAACTATTTCCAAAAGACCAATGTAAGGAGAATAATAACAACAAGAAGAAAAACAAGTTGCCTAATTGTAGCCATCCTTTCAGTAGCTAACTCGTGGGCTGATTTCATGGACTCAATCTGCTTTATGCAAACATCAACTACTCTCTCCACATTTCCAAGGCGTCTTAGAACATCGCCATGACTATTTTCCGATGTAACCTCTTCCGACTAACATCGAGGGATCACCCACTCAAAAAATTTGCAACCGCCAACAAAATCGCTTTCAGTCGTTGGGTTATCCAATACCTGCTCCTGCAAGTGCAACACATGTCACTAGCAATATACATGCCTTATATCAATGCTAACAAATAATATCGTCCCACTAAAAATATTATCTCAGATTTTAATCAACAACTATAAAACAACTTCTTCGGGTTATTCGAGTTGTTGAAATTCGAAGATGCATTTCCATTTGCAATAGCAGTACTTAGTATCATACTGCAAACTTCTCGAAGATTGATTCCTGACACTCCGTTGGCTATTCATACCTACAAATGTTTAATAAGCCACGGTAACGACATCCATATCATAATCAACATAAAAAACTTCATTTTCATTAGCACTGAACTAAGCAACATTCAAATATTCATTTATAGAGGTCCTTGCGGAATCAACCAAGGAAAAAAATGTAACAAAGTAAATTGCCTATGGTTAAGCAGCATCAGCAAATGCATGGGTAGCCAATAATGCTAAACCACCAGAAAGAACCGAAAACACAGCGGGCGTGCCGGAAACACGGGGGAACCACCTCTAGAGCAGTTGAATGCAGGGGCTTGAGAAACCTTCCAACGGCCGCTAAAATAAGCTTCGAGCATCCTTTCAACGGTCAACGCAAGGTGCCTCCAACAAATGGTGAACAGTAAACCGACGCTCTAGCTTCCCCCGAATGGTGAACATTGAGTGCCGTCCAT